ATTCTCTCTCTCCTTTCCTTCAGTGATTAACATTTTCCGCTTCACTTTTATGCATCGCATCTACTGGAATTTGTTGTTCACTTCATTTCATCGCAATAGTGCAAAGAAAAAAAAAAACCAAACAGTGATTTCTTAAAGATTACAATTTCTATTGTTTGCTTGACGATTTCCTGAAGTCCTGAAGCAGATCAGGAATAAGAGAACTGTAAAGCACATAAGGGTTCTGCAGGAAATGTTCTTCCCTAAAAATAATATTATAATTGCAGAAAACAGAATAATTCATAGCAATAAACCAGTGAATCGGTTTCTGTGAGAGATATAAAACATTTAGAGAGAAAATTGATTTAGAGAGATATAAAACATCGATTTTTCTGTTACTGTTATCCTTAAATTTTAGCGATTAGGAAATTCGCTAGTCTTAACTTTGGATTTATTAGTTGGGATTAATAAAGCTTCTTGCTACATGTCCTAATAATATCGGCATTTAGGCTAAACTATTATTTACCATTCACCGAAATTGTTTAACGAATATTGAAATTATATATGAAATTATAAATAAATTATAAATAACGGATATCGAAATTATTCAGGATATTATAAATAATCGAAATCTACATTGCTCTAAACGTTTTAAACAAATATCGGTTTTTCTAATGATATATTTTATACATAATTAAAATATGAAAATAGAAGCCTACTTCATGTTTACAAATATTTGTTTTGCTTCATTTTGAGAGCTATTCTAGGGAGGATATAGCACTGTCAATTTTTGTACACATGTTTAATACAGAGATTTGGGACTTGACTATTTGCTAATCATGTATGATTTAAGGCTTGTATAATTTATCAGATATTGAGGAGTAATGTATAAGGATGTTATTGATTTGACTTAGATTTCAATATAAGTTCTTTAAATCAATTAACTTCATTAAAAATGAATGCGAATTGTTACTATAGCTCTGTGGATTTTCGAGGTATGAATTGTCATCTTGAAAGATGATGTCTCTTTTTAGATTTTTCCTTTCTTCAGAGAACAGTCGAAAATAGAAGAAATAACATAATTAGGAATGGCGAAGTAGCAGAAATTGGGAATGTATTAAAGTGTGGGTTTGCGAAACAATGTGCTATATAGTAGTGTCGACAGGTGCAGGTGTCAACAGATTAGCAAATACTTTTGCAATGTTTTGCTGGATCTTCGTTATCCTAAACATATGTACAGAAATTGACAGTGCTGTAAAACTTAGCTCTCAAAATGAAGTAAAACGATTATTTGTAAACATGAGAAGTCTAGGCATTTTTTTTTTTTTCATATTTTTTTTAAGCTTTATTTTTTTCATATTTCTAAGTTAATTATGTATATTTATCGCTCATTACTCTAGTAAACATTATTTTTCTTTCAATGTTTTCCAATATGGTAATCTCGGGATTTATGATATGATGCAGTATATAAAGCCAGATATTTCAACTCTTTAAATTATATCTGTGGGTTTTATATTACTTCAGCTCCATTCATTTATCAGAGTCGTTGCTAGGAAAATCAGTCATCTCTTTCATCCAAGCACTAAAATTAGAAATTTTGTTAAATAGAATAACAAATAGTAAGACTAGCTATATATAAACGATTGCATATATCCACTTGACCAAGAACACATGGACAAATTAAACCTCTTCCAATACTTTAGGAAAAGTTACATCTTTGCCACACACTTGGAACGATGAAGATAAATTAATTTCGAGTCTGAAAAATGACAGGATATAATAATGTAATATTTATTAATTCTGATGAATGGATAGAATTTAACCTTGAATCATTTTTCTGAAATTTAGTAGAGTTTCATTTATAAAAAATCAGTGAACCTCTCTAAAAATCTCATTGATAACATATCTCGGAAAGAAAGTTAAACAAGTTTATTATTTAGTATAGTTAATAAACATTCCATTTAGAGCTATAGAATCAGTTATGAAAAATAAACATTGCAGTACGAGATGCTATGTTGAGTTTAATTCTCAAGTTACCATCCCTTTTTGCTTTTGATTTTAAATAAATACCTTGGGTGGTTTTCTTGAGCTAAATTTTGAAATAACCTCAAAAGATAATTTTATTGATTCTTCGCAGTCTCTTCTAGTGAATGCTTAATTCTTAAATTTTTAAAGCCAGTTTTTAGTTTGGACAGCAATTTACTCATTAAAAAGTACCAAAAGTAGCAGTTCGAATCAAGCTATCATCTTTTGTTTTTCTTTTTTAAATATGTACAGTTGAACATCAAATCTGGCCGGAAAAAGTTAATAGTAATATAATTTAATAATAACTACTGTTTTAGAAATAACTTCACTTAATAATGATAACTATTGTGTTTTTATTTTTCTGAGAATTCCTTCAAGCTTTTCAGTCCACTTACATGACTCAACTGTGTGAATTGCCTTTCAGATTTTTTAACTGCAATAGAATAATTCATGAACTTTTTTCGGAGATCGAAAGGTATAAATTTGATCAATGATAATCTTCTTTAGTATTGCACAATCCTTTTTGGTACCCGTTTCAATGATACTGCTCTGTTTCTTTTACCGTTCACCGCTTCTTTCATTGTACTGGTAAATTGTTAAAGTAAAATAGCAAAAAAAAGAACAAAGTCTTCTGAATTAGGTGCCGTGTAATTTGCTAATTAGCTGCTTATTTTCTCCTTTTTTTTCAGTAAAAAAGAATCAAATAATTAATTTATTCATTACAGAGAATATTCATTCCATTCAAAAATTTACATACATATTTGATATGAAAAAGAAGACATACACTTGAGCAAATAAATAAAATGAAATTTTCTTTTAAGAAAGTTGTTTCATCGAAATGCTGCAAAACTTTACAACAATCTAAAAATTGATCGATTTTAGAAGTAAGAATAATGGTGAATGGATGAATCAGGTCTTTTCATAAGAACCAGGTATCTTAAGGTATCATCACTAAAAGATGAGAAGTGATTATAGGCAGAAGTGTTGTGCATCAGGGAAGGTTCATATTGCCGAGAAATGGGACATCTGTCATTTAACGATGACAGCGCTCCTTGCAAGTTACAAACACATGATGTTTCATTGTCCCTCTCTCTCCCTTCATTTCTGCTTGCATCCATTTGCGGTTACTAAGTTAAGCCATTAGGGAGATTCATTCATCTTTGTCAGGTTTAATAGTTATGATGGCGCTTGTTGTTTCATCCAGAAATGTTGAAATAGGTGAAACATCTTTGTGTCTTTTAAACTGATCTAAACTATAGTCACCGCATTGCTTAATGAAAGAGCTGAATATCTCATCAAGTATTCCTTTGACAATTTCACAAAAATTTCGCCTTTTCTATCCAAGCAAGCAAATCCGAAATTTCACTTTAGAAGTGGAGGATAATGACAGAATTATCGATTTAATAATTGTATTAACTATTTAAGCACTTGAGGAAATGCCACTGTTTGATGAGATACTGAACAGAAATTGAAATTTTGAAAGCACTTCAAGAAATTTAAAAATTTCATCTTTTTCCTATTTCAAAGATTTTTTTTCTCCAGTAAAAGCTCATTGTTTGGTGAACCAACTTCATAAGAATCCTCTCTAATGATACAGAAAAATGCTTTTCAAAGATTTATTGATTTACGATCAGTTGATTAATTAACGTCAATAACTTCGCTATCAAAATATGCTAAGTAGCACAAAATGTGCCAAAAATAATGAACTGTGGATGAAATGGAGGAGAAGATGATCGTTATTAATGGAAGCTATTATTACTGTTAAATAAATTTTTGTATCTCTCATGATACCTTTCATACTTGATCCTTTCGCTTCATAAAGAATTATTGCTGCAATGATTCAATTTGTTTTTGTTACCTGTTCTTTCGGTGACACTCATATATTTTAAATCAAATTTTGTTAAACCTTTCAGAATTAATTTTGCCAAAACGAAAAGTTTTACTTCATTCTGCCATCTGCAATCATATTTTGATCACTTTTTCTCACTCATAATTTGTTATTCAGGAAAGCAAACAAAGCTAAATTAACCGGTTTAACTGAATAGACAGAAATATTCAGCCTTATTAAACAGGTGAAGGGAATTAAGTTTAGGACTATTAATTGATTATATCAGTACCACTCCAATTGTCATCTGATGACATCAAAATACCTGATAGCACAGGAGAAAAGGACAGAAGGAAGAGCAAAAGGGTCGAAAGTGACAAAATTGATTTTATGGTTAAACAGATCGAATAAGTGATGATAAGATATCATTTGAATATGTGACAAACAGAAAGGGACAATTCCACTTGGTAATTCTCATCGTAGATACCTTTGTGATTTGGAAAATGAATAATCATTGTTATAGAAACTAACCAATGCATATTCGTCGCATGAGCCTGGTAACTACGGTAGTATTTGTGGCATAGTGATTCAGCCTGGGGTGACAGGTTTTGTTGATATCTGGTATGACGGATGAGTGGTGGTGATAAGTCAGAATGGTTGCTTGATAAACGCGTTCATTTAGGCAGTTGTTGGTTAGATTTATACTTTGTCCTTCTTGAAGTCCAATCCAATCATATTAACCTTGTTTACATTATCTTCATGCACACACTTATTATCTTTTGGTTTTTAATCCCATTTCTCGTTTTTATTTCAGAAAATTGATTGTAAGCGTATTATTTATTTTCATTATATTTGAAAATAGCTCAAAGTCGAAACCAGATAATTCTCACTATCTTTTAAGGCCATTCGTCCATTTCCTTTTGAAGTTTATTACTGTGATTTAAAGAAATATGCACATTAAAACTAAAATAGGCCAGGAATTTTTTCTCATTCAATGTATTGTAAATATTTTTTAAGCCGTGGTCAAATTAACCGATGTCTACAAGGAGAATAAAGATATGGACTTTTGTCCCATCATTGTCATATTATTATTATAATTAGTCCTCATTATATTTGTATTTTCAGGCCATTTGCAATTTCAACACATTCAAGAAACAAAGTTTATAATGTTATGTTAAAATCTCAACTTGAAACGAAAGCTGATATAAAGAAGGAAACGACTGAATCAAAAAATATAGAAGGTTATATCTATTGAATACAATTAAAGAATTTCCAAATAACAAAACATTTTAAAGCTATCCATCTTGAAAGTGAAATGAACTGTGACTAAATTTTCTAATTCTCCAGTGCTTGATTTATTCACGAAAATTGTTTCATTCATCTGTATTTTCTAACCTCTAATCCGTTTTATAAGGAGTACAAAATTCCATTTATACAGCAATAAATTGTTTGGCTTTCATGAATCTTAAATACTTATGTTTCCAAAAATCTGTCTTTTCAGACATAATGAGTTTTGGTGACTTCATTTTATTCATCTCTGGCCTTTAAATTTTGCATAAACCGCCTAAACTAATTTCAGTTTTTGAGGAGACAAGTGGGATAGTCACAACTGCTAATGTGGAATTTAGTTCCGACAGAACTACTGAAAAGTAGGTGAAAACTTTTCCTTAGCAAAGTGATTCTCTGGAGTAGTCCGTTTTCTATTATTTCAAAGGGTTGCATTTTATAAGAATAGTTTCATGAAAAAAAGAATATAGATGAGTAACAAATTAAAGTTCCTTTGATATTTTTTTTTTCGAAGTTCATAAGCAGAACAATGATTTTTCAGGTCACGATACAGTCGTAGGAGGCACTCTTATCATGTGTTTGGCAATTCGTTAAAATCAGGCAAATTTTGGTTACGCCTTTTTCGGCCATGGAAGTGGCGAAAACGACATCAGAGAGAACGACTACGGTTAATTCATATTTTTAAATTTGTGTGTGAGATTTTGTGTTGCTTTCAAACCAAGATATAGAAATAGCTTTAATATTAGCAGAAGTACACTGAAATGCTGTGTACTTGTCATACATCTACACAACTTAAAAGTCCTGTTTCCTTGAGTTTTTTTTACTTAATAGGTGTTATTGTTAACACTGCAAAACTATCATTTTTTGCAGTAAGGTTTATATATTGCGGTAAGATTAGAACGCATATACTTAAATATTAATTTCTTGTGAACATATAACATGTGTGTTCGTTTGATTGATGTAATTAAGTTATGGAAACTTTGTCAAGTTTAGCAGCCATACATAAAGAGACGAAGCATTTAATTCTAATATTTATTCATAAAAGTAGCTTTCTGAAATCTACCACTATAACTATGAATACTTAGAAGTTGGATTATACAGCTGCAATTGCTTTTTAGACGAGTTACAAGTGATCATAGGCAAGAAAATTCACCACCCGCTATCATACGTTCATCTTTCAGCACTTTGGAATCACTCTTCTCTGTTCCAGATGTTGATGGTTGGTTTTCTTAATTTTGGAAAACAAATATTCGCTTAACTATTCAAAATATTTTTTCTGATGCCTCCATTTTGTAGGTGAGCAGTAAATTTTAATCGACTGTGAAGATAGTTTTGAATCGTTCCTATGGTTTGTTTCTCTGTTTTTTTGTCAAAATATGCTTTTTTTTTTTCAGTATTTTGCTCTCATATATTTGCTCTTCATATATATCTTCATATATTTATTTTGCTCTACAGTTATAGCTCTCACTTCTGATAAGTTATTTATTCTTCAAAAACATTACTAGGAATATAGTTATAAGTACTTGAAATTTCTTTTAGGGCTTCAATTAATGATCAGCTTACACTTAATGCATAGAGTCAGTAACATTATTATGTTTTTATGGATGAATCGTATTTTGTTATCTGTGCTGAAATTAAATGATTTATGCAGTTTACCGCTGTATGAGTACTAGTAAAACTTGGTTTAAATTCCTTTTGTGAAAAGATTGAGGAGTTCATTCCTATTTTGAAGGGCTTTTATAGGTATTTTTCACTACTTTGTTAGATAGGTAGTGTTAGAACATCAGTGATAGTTTCAAATCACATGATATCCATTTGCAGTTTGGAAACATTCATTCTTTTAGTATTGTTTACCAGGTCTCTTTATAACCACCGTTGAAGTAATTAATTGAACTGTTGAATTTTATAAATTTAAACTCAATTTAACGTCAGTTTTTATTCCCCTCCATTTGGTACTCTGATCTATAGTTCGAAAGTTGTGAAATTATTGAATAACTAGAAATTTTTGTTTGCAATAAGTGCGTTCTCCACGCATATATATATATATATATAGAGAGAGAGAGAGAGAAGGAAAGAAAGAAAGAAGTTGAGGAAGTGCATCTCTACCCTTATAATCTTTGATGTTCATTAGTCGATCAATTATTATAGCTGTAAAGAAAATTTTATGGCTTGCTGAAGACGAAGAAGTCAGGCTGCTTGCTGGCAGGAAATTTTATATCTATATTTCAGATTTGTCTCTTTTTGTGTCTTACTTTATTTATTCAGTTATCAGTAATCCACATGATCTTTGAACATTTAGCTTTTTTTTCCAAACAATTTCCATTGCGGTCGTCAGGCGGATCTGTTTTCTTAGGGTTTAAATCATCATTTTCGGTTACAGAAACTTTCAACGTTAAATACACTATTAATTTATTAATTTTCTTTAAACCTTTTGCAGAGACATACAGGCCAACACAGTGGAACTGTTTAAATTCGTCGACCCAAGCGCCCGTTCGAATAAACTTGGATTCATTAAAGGGGTAAAACAATTCTCATGAGAACACTTTTTTGCTGTAATTTCTTATCGTAATTGTTTAGCAGAGTTATATCAACTGAAAAAGTTTTATCGTCTAGGTTTCAGAGGAAGCTCTGGTGGAAATATTCTCCGCTTGACTACTGAAGAAGTAGTAGTATCACCGGTTCAAAAAGTTGTAATTGTTGAGCACAGAGATGCACTTAATGCGGGTAATTTAGCAAGTGTCAAGGATGTGGAAATAGATGCTGGTTATCTTACGGCGGGAAATTTGGAAGATTTTGAGGCTGCTTCCATTGCTCAAAGTAATTTTTAGAAATTTTGTGGAGAACTAGTGTATTTTGTACAAATTTCTGTTGTGATTTTTTCTAAAACTGTTATTTTTGCAGCCGAAAAGCTTAATCAAGAGAGGGAGAGCATAAATGGTGGTCAGCTTACCGATCAGGAATGCATAACTTTCCAGTTGGATCCCAGAGAAATGAAAACTGCGGTTGTTGAAGAAGTCGTTGCAAAAGAGCCTGATCTGTCAGCACGACCAAATAAGCCAGTGCTAAAGAAGCCTGGTGCACCTAGTAGATTCAGACTTGTGAAACGAACACCGAGTCGAAAAATGCGCCTGAGCGAAAGGATTTCGGGAGCAGTAGATACTGATCGTCCTGATCAACTATTAAGGTGATTTTTTTTTTTTAATTTCGAGTATTGCTAGTTAAAAAAGTTAATTTCTAGAGAAATTTGTCGAATATAATATGTTTTAGCTGTAATGGACCGAGGTTGCCATCCAGACTGACTGATGATAGCGATAGTGATACAGACATCCAGTATCGCGATGATAAATTAAGCAAATGTGGTATTGGTTATAGTACGAATCCAGCCATTGCAAGTCGTATCGTACCGTATCATTTATCTAGTGAAGATGATGAAGATGTTCCATTGAGTATGTTGTGTATATTAAAAGAGTGAAGCAAGTTTTGACTAGTGATATTTCACTATATTTTACGTGTATTTTTAGCAAGTTTTGCATTACGGGTAACCAGAAAGGACACATTTGCGAAAATGTTGAATGTGCCTGATCCTGTCGATGACATTCCGAATCAAACATCCGATGAAAGACGGCGACTGATGCACAAAGCAAGTATTAAGTTGGAAAGGTTCCTTTTTATTAAATATACTTTCACTGAACACTAGTAATTTCAGTCTTTTAATAATAAATTCCCAACAAGCATATCAAATTTGTAGGAAGTTGAGTGAACGACCTTCTGTTGAAGAAATGGAGCAGCGTAATATTTTGAGAGCCAAAGATGCTTCGATTTCTTCCAAAATAGCCATGGACGAAACACGTAGAGTCCTCTTGCGTAAGGTAAATATATGTTTCAGTTGTTGTATTCATTTGGTGCATATAATTTATTAATGTTATTTGTTGTATATATTTGTTGTTTGGAATTTATAGTGCAGGCCGATCTGATTGAAATCAAGAGTGTTTGTTACTTTCAGCTCAGTTTCCGTCCAACAGTACAAGAGCTAAAGGATAAGCAGATAATCAAATTTAATGATTATGTGGAAGTAACAGAAGCGGAAGCATATGATCGAAAAGCAGATAAACCTTGGACAAGATTGACACCAGTTGATAAGGTTTAACAGTTTTCATTGCACTGACAGAACTGACTACATTTTCAGCAATCTATTGATTTGGAAAAATAATTGAAATATTTTGTCATTACAGGCACTGATCAGGAAGGAACTTAATGATTTCAAGGCAACAGAAATGGATGTGCATGAAGAAAGCCGTATATTTACACGGTATTTCTTTCAATTTTGTTCTTTAGTTTGCATAAACGAAAAAAGATTTCTACCTTGAAATGACTTTTTCAATATGTGATAATAATGATGACAAGAAACTTCTTAACTACTTGCATCAGATGATAAGTGTTTTCAGGTTTCATCGCCCATGAAGTTGTAATCTATGCATTTTCTATTCCAGATGCTGAGATCATGACACCTCGTTTTATTACTTTTTTCCCATTGTTCTGCCACCATTCATTATTGTAAGAATCCTTTATGCTCTGATATTTAAATTAAGAATTATAAACTTTATTTCCAATGATTCGAGTCCATAAACAAGCCTTCCTTCTTGCACCACTGATAAAGATCATGACATTGTTTTTAAAAATTTGTGCTCTATTTCTTATGCGATTTTGTAACGTTTATTTTTTCCAGTTCTTTATGTCATTCCTTTGAAACATACCGAGCAAATGTCACGACAGTAACGGCCCCCAATGTGGGGGTTTGGCCTATATGTGGTAATAGTCAAAGAAACATGTATTCTTGTAAAATTTATCTCAACATTCAAACTGTGATGGACTTCTCCATATGTGGAAACCGAGAAATATATGTATATGAGTTGATAATAACTCTTCTGAATCAAAGGTGTTAAGTAAAACACTTCTTATTTCTTATTCCGTTTCTTCACTGTTCTCGAAACGTTCTTTCTTGTGTATAAGTGTTTTTTAAATGGCAATTATGAGATGTTTTAGTCATAAAGTGATACACAAAGCATCTCATGATGTTGTATTTCTAAACTCGCTCTGGAGACCAAGATTAGTACTACAGTTACTCCAAGACTTCCCCATTAACACTTTTTGTGAAAGCTGTAATTTCTCTTTTCACTCCCATTTGCATTATTGGTATCACATGATATGGATAAACTTCTCCCCCTTTAGTATATATATGTCCTGTAATTGATTTAGAACTAGCACCGGCAATGATAACTAATTAGTTGTGAAGTGATAGACAAAGTGATGATCTAAGGAAAATTAGCCATATATAAATAACGAATTCACTCCAAAAGAGTTAGTACATAAGAGATTTTTTCTCAGCAATTACTACAGTGATGAAGTTAATATATAGTCCTTAACACATGACAACTCTATTATTTTGGAAAAAGTTTATACGAGTAGAAGCATGATTTAAAATCGTAAAAATTAATGATAAGACACTGAAACGTCTACAACTCGAATTGGCCATGGTTATTCTGCAGATACTCGCAAAAAACTTAAATTCAAGACGTAATATTTGATTGAAATGCATAAAAAATGTAAAGACGTCATCGATCTGCTCTCTGTCGAATACCATAGTTGTAAACATGAGCCATGTTGACTTCTGTTGTCGTTATCTGATCCTTGAGGAATGCCAACTCTTTTTCATATTTCGTCACTCCATCCTTTGCTAAAAAAAGAATTTAACGGCACTAATTAAATTATGCATTAAACACAAGAAATAATTCATTTTTTATGAGAAACAAATATATTGCAAATTCAATCACTCAGTCACTGATCGATCAATCAAGTAATACCGACATATATAATAAAATAATTCAACAGTAGAAAAAGATTAACTAGGATAAGAATAACAAACAGTTACAGACATTACCAAATAACGAATTTGTCAAATAACGGAGAGCTAAGACTTGCCACTTTTATAATTATCTTCAAGTATGCATCGCGCCTCGTTTAGGCTGAATTCAACCATAACATTAGAACCAAGCCATAGAAGCACCTGAATAAATTCCTCGAGTGAAAATGCTTAAATTCAACTAATGAGTGGATATATAATTTACTGAAGCAAATGAATTAAATCATATTTGGTTACCTTATCAGGTGAATCTGTTTTCACCCGCTGATAAACATGTTCGCTAAGCAAATGCGTCACTTCAACAATTTCTTTTTTTTTCTGAAAAATTAGTAAAAGATTTAAAAAAAGAAAAACTTTAAGATTCGGAATCAAATTCAACAAGACTAATAACGGTAAAGAAAAACCATAGCTTGAAAGATCACTTTCGAAGAGAGTGAAGATAAAAATCAACAAACCGATTTTTCTTCTAAATGATTAATAACTCTGACTGACTTTTCCAAATCTGGAAGCTTCGAAACTAATCTGTAAGAGAGACTGTTGAAGGTATATGTGAACAAAATTAAATTGGCGGATCATAAGGAACATCCCCATTCACTTCAAAAAACAAAGGCCGCTATAGGATTCTAAAACACAACTAAAATGTCCTTATTTTTGCGATCAAAACCTAACATTGTGCTATAACACGACCAGATCGAAATGAGTACTACTCTGAGCGGATAAAAAAGCACATATATGAGTACAGGGAACAATGGAAAGGAACTGGATCGCTGAGTCTTCACTCCGAAATCAATTGCTCCAAATACTCATCCTTCGCCTACACTCATTAGCATCCCATGATTTAGGAGGATAGTGAAAAAAATATAATTTCAAATGATAAGAATGAAGTTGATTTAATAAACCAAGGTATGTATGTATTTTCAGTTCTCATTTATCACGATCTGTTTATCTGTCCTTATTAAATAAAATATATATATATCACATACTTCCTCTAAACATTTTCAAAACTGTAAAAAATGATGCTTTGTTTCTGAGTGTTAGGAAGAAATCCTATATATCCAAACAAAACAGTACCGTGATTTCTGTTCAGTTAGTTGCTGTTCAACCTGCTTATACTTTCTATAAATTGCTTCTAAACGTCTGATGCCTTCCTCTATGCCGATATTGCCTTCTTTTTTTAAATAAGCTTCCACATTCTCCTGAAAATAATAATTTGAACAGGACTTACCTTCAAAAATGTGTATTTTTCTACTATAGCTTTCTTATCCAGCTTAAAGAAATCGTGCTGCAGCATTTCTGCTACTTTTCCTACTTTAATTTTTGTATTATCATTTCAAACAAAAAAGAAAAAAAAAAAACTTCCAATCATCTTACACCTTGCAACAACTGCATTTAAATGATCTATAACTGAACTTTAAGTTACAGCTTAAATATTACGTGAAAAGCAAGACTACTTAATGACAAGCTAATACCCATTATATATGCATAAAAATGGAATTATCTGTTTCACTGAACATCAAAATACAATATAGTTTCACTGATTACTAACCATCACTTCAGCTGTAGGGACACCTTGTTCTATAAGGTCCGAGACAAATTCTTTCTCCTCCTGCATCGAGCTAATTCCACATAAATAGTGACTCTCGTATTATATAATCAAAATCCAGGCGTTAGCCGCTTAAAAAATTTGAATTCAACCAATGCATTTCTTGTACAGTGATAGCCTTATTCATTCAATACTCATTTTCTAAGCAAAAAGTCAGTAACAAGTGGCAGCTCTCTCCAAGGTCTCCAAGATTTTAGTAGCTCCCAGACCTGACACTAATATTAGCTGAAAACAACTTCCGTGATGCAAATAATATGCCAGTCTGCTATCACAACGAAAACAACTTCCGTTGAAGTCATCAATACAAACCTCATAAATATTCTGGCAAATGCACTTACTAGCAATAAAAGAAATGAAACTGACGAAACAGAAGAGCCAGAAGAAAGCCGAGGGAATCAATATGCTCTAAACAACATAAAACATTTATTGCCATTAAAAAGTAATTAAAGGAATCTAGTCATAAATTATGAATAATATGGGCACACAAATAATCTTTACGTTCTAATTGCCAGTTAAAGTTAAAGAAAAACTGAAACAAAATTAAACAGCGCTTAAGAAATTTCATTCAAACATAAAACAACTTCATGAAAATTAAAAAAGAAGATATATTAGAGCACTTTAAAAATGCTTGCAGAAAATGAAGTAGTGAGCACTGTGGCAAAGTGAAACAGTAAAACTTTTTGAATGTACTAAAAAAGACAAGAACCCGTATTTTTTGAGAAACAGGTACAATACAAAAAAAACTTAGAAAATCTGCCTGCGTTTTTATTTGAACAATAAAACATATCAATGTAGAAATTATCAATTAAAAAAGATTCCTGAAACAATGTCAATCCACTTGGTGGCATAAATTGGCCATTAAATAAAGAAAATGTTAAAATAAGCATTCTGCTATCAATTTCCCTGAAAACGACCCTAACAATTAATGTTATATAAAGAAGTGAGAAGGATCTAGATGCCAAATTTTTAATTGAGAAAAGAACTTTTACTGACAAGCTGTCATTAAATGCTTCAAGAAGATAGAAAAATTCTTAAATCCAATAATCTCAAAGAAATAGAACTGAAAGACATGAGACTTGGTCATACTACACAACCTGACAAGAATAAGAACGATCATATATTAGTCAAAAACTGATGACGTTATTAAAAATTCAAAATGGGCAAACTGTCTCATCAGTAATTACTTCTTCTGAAATAATACTGAATAAATGAATAATGATGTGCACAGCACTTGTCATAAGAATACCAAGTGTTGGTTCTAATAGTTCAGTAAATAGAAAAAGATACTAATGCAGCGAAAACTGAATAAATTAAATCATTAAATGTATTTCTCCGACTAACACTTTCTCTCTACGCACTCTAAAAACATCACCTGTACAAAACAGTAAAATAAAAAGGCATGACGTACACAGACAACTTGCTAATAGAAGTTACTAAGAACAGTTTGTAACTTGATTATTCTTAATACGATAAAGTTGGTGTTTTCTAATGTAATCCACTACCGAATCCATCGTACAATATTTTATCGATTCACCACGTCGAACCGCAGCCCGTAAACGTGTAGAGCTTATATCATTAGGTAAAGCTGTATCTTCAAAAATAAACACATTCGCTAATGATTGACCATTATAGCCAAGTTGACTCAAAGTTTTCATTGGTTCTGCATTTTGTCTTGCCAGTACTACCAAACCTGAAGTACAACATCATATTTCAACATCGAAAGCGGAATAGCAGTATTTGTTGAAAGAGGTAAATCACTGGGCACAACATTAGACGTAACAAAGTTTCAATGTATGCATTTTAAAATAAAATACAATTTTAATCCTATCATTTACCGAAATCTCGTATAATTGCACCAATATCTGAGGGATCCCAAAGATAATCTCCCGAAGGTGTTATTCGCTTGAATGAATCCACAACGTCACCACCGCATAACAACATCAAACGCAACCGTTTATCATTATATTTCCGATCTAACATCTGCTTAAAGTGTATCAAAACTAAAAGTGTTCTGGTCCACTGCTTTTGAGTGCACTCCCATTGGTCAGCTCGAATCCACGTTGAACTCTTCACTGCTAATTCTGACATCTTATACCTAAAATATCTTGAGAAATGTTGACATTTCTCAACAAATTTTTTTGTTATTGACAGTTAAGAAATCCGGTATGCAACAGAAAGAAGATCTCTTTTGATTTCCTCAAACAGTTATGATTCAGAATCTTGTCAAACACCATCGCATATAGAAATGTAGTAGTTCCACAATAGTCAGTAACCGATTTTGTGGACCAAAAAAAAAAAAAAAGAAAATACAATTTCCCACAAGCAAACTGATAAAACCTAAAAGCATTATTATCATCAAAAGCTAAAAAAGCATTATTATTTACCTGTGTGTTGCAGGCAACAAGTCAGGTTTGCCAAAATAATCAGCAACTGGACTTAAAATTCCTTCAACCACCTCGCATCCATAGCGAACTTCCAAGAAATCACGAGCGCTCTCGAACATCCTAAGGTGCATAATTGTTGGCGGGTTATAACAACCACATGCCAACAGAGCTACTCGTGCTCCTTCCAGACTGTTCATTCGCTATTCCTCTGATGTTTCACAGTTTTATTGGAACTAATGAAATAATTGTTTATATAAATATCTGAAATCCCTAAGTCAAAATGAATACATATTTAGTGACCAAAAAGAATCAGCAATTGAAGTACCGGCAAATAATATCCGTCCGCACATGAAGATGCTACTTTCTCATTATAAAAGAAGTAATGATCAGATGAAAGCAAGACATTAGGCTGAGAGTACATCCCACATTTTTCATATGAAACACTTCATTCATGAAATATTCAAATACCGCAAAGAAAGACAACAAACCGGAACATATCCTGACTGTAAAACAAATTTATTATAATTTGTTAATGCCAAATCACGTGATGCACAACAGAGGCAAGCTATCACCTACTATGTAAAATGAAAATTATGACAAAGTACATCTCATATGAATACTCCTATTAATTCTTAAAGAACTCAGGATGTATTCTATGATTACAGCATTTAAGTGAATTTTACCGCTGAATAAATATCTTGCACTGTCGCCTTTGTGCAACTTTCGATCTAGATTTAGAAGCAGAGAAAAGTAAGCAAATAAAACAAGTCAAATATCTATTTAACACAGTAAAAGAAAAGCGAACAATTTCACCGTTCGATCAGATTTGAAATAAAAAACATCAGAAATCAGTGAGCAAATCGTAGTGTCCAAACTCGTGCTATAGCATCAAATGCCTTTCGATTGTTCACATACTGTTCCGCAACATTTTCAAGCAGAGCATTTTCTAGAAATAATTTTATGACTTACAAGCTCGTTGATTGTTCAAGTGTCAGTTCGAACTTTGAACTTAAATAGCAACTACAATATGTGAAACGAAAATAAAGAAAAATATCAACATTTAGTTATCTAGATGAAGTGTCCTATCTGGGAATCGAAAAAAATGCCGCACTAACAATATGATATCAGTGACTATTACTTAATATTCCAAAACAAATTAGAAATTGGAAAGAAATGAAACGCACCGGGTTTGCAATCATATAGAAGACCAACTATTTCTTGCAAAATTCTTGCAATTGTCATTGAGGAACTCCATCGATCACGTAAAATACCAATATTAACAACACCGTGTCGATTGATATTGCAGTGATATATCCTTGTTAAGAATTGCACCTGAAGTATGCAGAAAACCTTTCACTATAAGGTTTTTTATTTACAACACTGAAAAAAAAAAATGCCTTCTAAAAATATCCGTTCTCGTTATAATGTTATAAAAATACCTTAGGTGAATTGAAAGGGTATGTTGGCGGCACAAACATCTGCACGAAAAACGTACCACCTTCATAAACGGTATTTTCGGGCCCATTGATCACTGCAGTCCATTCATGAATGTTATCGGCTCTCGGTGCCGCTCTACAGTATTTCACTGGGTTTCTTTTAAGCTCTTTCATCTATAAAACAGACAAAACATAAAATCATGACTACCCAAGATGTTATGCATATAAAAATTGTAAAGATCAACATATAAACATACTTCTTTAATTAGTCTTAAAACACTTCGTGCAGTCGTTGGCGTGGCATCGATTGACAAGCCAACCGTACGTGGATCCCAACACCCCTGTTTCCATTCGAACTCACCCTAAAACAATGAATTAAAGTCGTTTTGATAAATCTCCATAAGAAATATTACATTTTTATAGACATTCTCTATTTTTTTATAAATTTCTTATATAACAAGCAGTCTACCCATCAATCCATCAATAAATAAAGTAGAAATGACAAACAAACATTAACGTATACAACTCTTCTAATGTGAATGCTCAGAAAGATATGAAATTCTACACATCTAATGTGTATGTAATTTCCAACAGTTATATATTGTAATGGCATACTACAGAATTGAACCCCTTCGTTAGCTTAATAGGGTCGTCGGATTGGCATAATCAGGTGAGAGAAATCGAGTCACCCGAAATATATCAAAAAAGAAAATGATTAAACTAAAAAAATTTAGCAATTGAAAAATCGAAAGAGTTTCTGAAATGAATACAGAAAACAGAGAAATCCATCTTAGAACTATCGCTGACCGAAATCTTTTCTACACTATGAATAATGAACGGCGTATAGAAGACATACAGCAGCTTCGAATGGAGGGCGTTCATCTCGTAGAATGTACACGCGCTCTGCGTTCTGAATAGCCATCATAACACGTTTCTCGCTAGATGCTCTCGTAAATATTACACAAAATTTCTCAAAAGTACTGAAACAAAAGAAAAACCGAAAAAAAATTTACGGCAACCACTATGTTAATTTCAGTAATTCAATGATAAAGGAAAAAATTCTTTAATACTTGCTCCACTTTCTGAAATCCGCTAAAAAAAAATATTTTTGAGCTAACTCTGTGATTTTAATCTTAAACAAGTTTAAGACCAAAAATCCTAGAATAAATTTCCTATAAGCACTATTTATAAAAAACAAGTAGTAACAGGTTATAACAACCACAATTGGTAAAAAGACAAACAAAATTCAGAGCACTTTTTATCTCAGTCCAGAATATATAATGTCTCATAAACGATGATCACAACATCAGTTGGAATAAACAAAGCAAACTTCAAAAGTATGCATATTTTTTACGTCAAGAAATCCTTTTATTAAATTCTCATCTCTTATAACACACCCAAAAATATTATTTCAATAAACCTGTGCGATCCTACAGTAACTTTCCTATAAGGACTATACATCATATTCATAAAATTTTGAAGAAAATTATGTTAATTATGTTAATAAAAACAAAAATAAATAAAAAGGGATTTAAAAAGTGCAATTTTTTGAATTTTTCAAAAGTTACCTAAACCTTAGATTTATAATAATAGTCTTAAATTTATAATAATAATATTCACTGGAAAATATTCACTGGAATATTCCAGCATAATGGCTGAAATAAAAAAATAAAAATATTCAAAAATAAATTGAGTTAAAAGAAATGAAACCTGTTAATATGTTTGGCAAACTTATCAACTTCAAAAACTATCAATAATGATTAGTCATGACGTAGACGCCATTCCAAAAATACTTGGTCACTCTGTGAGGACTATACTTTTGTTTGATATCATTAAAGAATATTCGTTATTAGTTACGGATTTTTCTGGAAAAACAGAAAAAATAAAATAAAACATACAGAAATATTTTATACGAAATTGAGAGAATGCCAAGTTATGGACATAACCTTCATAAGACCTATCCGAACAAAAAAATAGTTGCAAAATTTTTGCATCGGAGATTACCAATAATAACCTAGAAGGAAGGTATAGTTTTTCGAATTTGTAATATTAGAAATAGAAAATTTCAGAGCACCAACAATGAAATAATGCTTTTTCTCACTGCTCTGAAAAGTACAATTGAAAAGAACGTAGAATTTTCAAATGTGTTAGATTTTTTGGATCAATAGTAATAAAAGGCTGATGTTTGTTGAGGCCAGCAAATTCTGCTCATTCTCCGCAAAGAATCGAACAAAATGCGCTTTTGTTGTTGTTTTTAGTTCTGGATATTCTGGCTGCATTATTTACAGCATAAACCAGAACTTACACTTTGACCTTGACCCTCTTGGCCGATATCTATTCCTTCATGACCACGTCCTGATGGACCACCACCAGTCCCATCACCTTTTGGTAGTTTCTTAGCTGCAATTTAGTTCTTCCTAAACTTATTTTTAGAATCACAGAAGTTTACAACTTCATTAGATAAATTTATCCTAAGCGATGAACTGCAGGTCTAACCAATCGCAAGGAAGATGTCATTTACATTCATTGCAGTTTTTGCTGAGGTTTCCATGAATAACAACGCATTATCTTCTGCATAAGCCTGAGCTTCCTGTAATTAAATTTACAAACGTTATGCATTAACAACGATAACGGAAAACCATGGAGGATTAACGTGTCTTACAACTCTGAGATTAATGCTCAATTATTTCAACAAAGAAAATTTCACTTCCATAATTGTTTGCATGATATGAACTGTCCCCCATAAACAAGCTATTGTGAAACCAAAGATTCAAAAATAAACTAGCGAAATGAATCAGAAAAAAGTTAAAAAAGGAAATACCACGATGAAATTATATTACTTCTATAATAAAAGAAGAATATGAGCTCAAGAACGGAAATAACAAATAACCTCATATTCAACAACTCGTTTGTTTGCAAGATCAGCTTTATTTCCTGATAAAGCAATTACAATGTTCGGACTGGCTTGCCGCTGCAACTCTTTTACCCAATTTTTCGCCTTCGCAAATGATTCCTGTAAGTAGCTAGTTAAATATGTATTGTATCACCACTGAAACATTAAGATCATATAAACATACATCAGAGAAATTAATGAATGCTTATTCTTTCTTACTGTTTTAAATCCCTTCTACTATTTTAAAATCTACGCAAAATTTTTGGCATATTTTAAGGCACCTCGATGCATCGTCGATCCACTTCATGTCGTTATGAGGTACAAAGGAATTAAAGCACCCTCAACTTTAACAGCTACATAAACATTGGATACAGATCTACTACAGTACTTAATTGTCATTAATTTCCATGATAGTTAAACACTAACAAAATTAGTATTAAAACTCACAATATTTGTTAGATTTAGCTTCACTACAAATATTCTCAAACAGCAGATAAGGGAATAGCTAAGGGAACTTTTCCTTGTTTATCCAAGTAGAATGAAAAAATTTGTATTTCTATTGGAATATTAAAAAGGCACCTGGTTTGTAATATCATAAACAACTATTGCCGCCTGTGCTCCGCGGTAGTACATCGGTGCTAATGAATGGTATCTGTAAAGGAAATTAGACAGCAACATTTAAAGATGAAAAATGTAAAAACTGCAATCCTAGCATTCATCAGCACCAAACATACTATCATGCACCCTTTATATAGAAATTGCTAGGTCATACCATCCAGCTAAGGAAACCGCTAAAAATTGATGTTATAATTGATGCAAGCATCGAAGCTTCTATTTAAAGGATTAATAGCAAAATGCAGCTAAACTGTTAGCCGAACTAAGCATTTTTAAAAAACTAAGAAAAGTACTTCCAAATTTCAAAATACACTAAAACGTATAAAGTAGCTTCCATAAAAAGTTCTTTTAATAAAAAACGTGTTTAAAAACTGGGTACCTTTCCTGTCCTGCAGTATCCCATATTTCAAATTTCACTGTGGTATCGTCCAAACAAACAGTTTGAGTGAGGAATGCAGCACCAATTGTTGATTCCTGGTACTCATGGAACTGTCCCTTTACAAATCTTAGGACCAATGATGACTTCCCTGAAAATATGATGCTCCTTGTCTGAAAAACATCGAAAACAGCAGTATCATGTTATCACAGTATTGGTCCAGTAATGAAATAGAAGAAGGCCTTCCTTTTTGGCTCTGTAGCAATAGAGGATTAAATATAAAAATACTTACCAACTGCACTTTCACCCAACAAAACCAATTTAAACTGGCAAGTTTTGCTTGGACCGCCTGTATTTCCGGAACGCATCACTGTTCGCCCAGCCATGGACTGTTTTCCTTAAGTTAATTGAAATCATTATAAATACAAAACTTTTCTACTAAGAGGAATGTAACGAATGACTGGTAACACAGAGCAAAATTTGTTTGTTAGTTAATCAATTTCTACAGAGTGAGAAAAAATTTGATGGAAAAACTTTACATAGTTCCCCACCGAACAAACAACGAATTAATTCTTTGTGATAATCATAATTGTGATGAAGTAGTCGATATCACTGATCATGCATGAGATTTCTATTTCTTACAACAATGATAAAGTAATGACAGTACTATACAGCTAAAAAGTGCAACTTTAAATGCGACGCTCATTTTAAAATTCCATTAATGGCAATGAGTTCAACAGTGATTTTGTTTTAAAAAAATTCAATACACAGAATGTTGGGCATTAAAATAGAAAAGCATACATCTAGAATTACAGGTATTTTTTTCCTTTAAAGCAAAGGGAAACAGAGGTTGAATATTACAACCTTCAGGGAAGCAGTGAGGCAAGAACTGTTATTTACACCGTTGAAGATGCAAAGAACGACTTTAATGTGATAGAAGAACAGATGAACTCTAAAGAAGTCGAACCTGACCTCACTTCCGTCCGTTCAGTAGCATACAGATAAGACACGGGTAAGTACGTCACCAAAGTTTTCTCGCTAGTCGTCTCTCAACCGGAATGATGCCACTGTGAGATTAATATAGTAAGGTAACTAACACAAGTGAGGGTAATACGTAATGGGCGTGTAATGCTGCGTGTAAAGAGGAGTTGGAAGTTACGTAAACGTAGAAGATGTGGACTGTACAGAGTGAGAGAATAATCAGTGGATAGAAACAGAAATGATATTAGAGATTACTGTTGGTGATATTAGAGCAGATTTGGAAGTTGGTCTTTAGAAGGGACTACATGAAGTGTGTCTAAACATGTTATGCTCCATCTTTTCCCTTTGCTGTTCTTTTCGTCTTCCCTCCATTACCTAAGGGTAATCAAAATCACTGAGGTTGTTCAATGGAACAGCTAAATTCAATAAACAAACAAACAAACAAACAAAAATATTTGTTAGCAAAGTGCTGCATGAAGAGCCAAAGAGTAAAATATGACAAAAAAAGCAAAATATAATATGATCTGCTGAAAATGATACTGTTTTAAGCGCTGTTTTCTATCACAGTCAAATTTATTATTCAGAGTTTTTAAACCGATCTTCTTGAATTAGTTGTAAATCTAAGTTTTGAAGAATCCATCAAAGAGAAAAAAAAAATAATGGAAAACCATTCTTGTTTTGACTTATCGGTTGGAGCTGATATTGTGTACTTCACGAATAATAAAGAAAATACAATTCCAAAATACTATATTCCATAACATTGGCGAGAAATGAGAATTACAAGAATAAAGTAAGAAAATCGAACCTTTTTTGAATTATTGTTGAAAATAAGATAAAGTGTATCTAGCGCTTAATTGTGAAGCACATCGAGTTTCTCTCCAGTGGTCACAAAAATGATAACCAAAAACTGGATATCCATGAAAAATATTTGTTACATGAGCGGAAACATGTGATTTTCATAATGAAGGAATCGTCATTTTCCATCATTTCATTAATTTCCAAAACGAGCAGTGCATGAGACAATGAATATAAGCGTATCACACCACGACGATAAGAGTGGACAGCATTCATTCTGAAGTCTCCGTTCAAAAATCCATGGATTAAGTTCGTAATAACAATCTAAAACACTTTTTCTCATTAAATATTCTTTTCATAAAGCACTTGATGCCACTCACGATTTGACCTTAGGTCCATACTGTGAACCATCGAGGTTATATGTCATAATCTGATGCGTCAAGGTGACAATATTTTGTTTTGTCAGAATCAAATCCATCCTTCATTAACCCTAGATCTTTTTCCACTAAAGATATCCTCGATCATTCACAGTGTATATTCTCCAAATTTGGTGTTTGCGATTTATAGTTTTGTAACTAACTATGCTGGGTATCATTTTCTTGCTTCTCGTACCTAATATTTTAACTTATAATGGTAAGATTCCTTTTTTCCATCTCTTTTTCTAAATCAAAGATTTAATTAAGTATTGTGGTACCATTAATTTTTTTTTTTTTTTTTTTTGATTTTTTTGTTGGCAGAAAAAAAAAACAATTATAAATAGTTTATTTTCATGAACTATCAAGACAATTTCTTCAAGCCAATGAAACTTTTTTTCACATTTAAACGCATTACAGAAAGAAATAAGTCACATTGCGATTTCGTAGCAGAACAATGGATTGTTGAGAAATGTCTGATTCCATTATTGGACAAATTTTATTTCGAGCCACTTTTTTTTGAGAAATCATTTGCTGATGCACAATCGATACTTTGTAAATTATATAGCGAATATAAGAACTGTACCAGTGATTATGATTGCAGGTCGCTTTTCCCTTTTTAAAATAAAGTAAGGTGTTTGTCTGAATATCATCAAGCTTCATAATTTGCTTTTTCTGCTTTCTAGAGAATTCTGGATCCGGTTCTAGAAATGGAACCGGAGTTTGTTAATTTAGAAATTCACTGCAACAGTAAACGAAACGAATAAACGATGTTCTTGCACAAATTATAAATTTCAGAACATTAAAGGATCATTTTCTCACTGAGATATGCTCTGATAGTTTACAAAAACAGTTGCGTGAACATTACGCTTGCTTCAATAGCTTTAGAAATTACTTTATATTTTCTCCGGAATGCTTCGATAATAGCTCCCTTCATTCCAATCAAGAAACAACTCTTTTCCAAAGTGTTAGTTTTGAAGTTATTATCAGACAGTTTTTAATTTTTTTAAGAATGTTTTCTTTTCCCTATTAATTTGTTTTTATCTCAGAAGGCACTATTAAGCAGCATTTATTTCTATTTTGAATCAACAATTCCTCTCATAATAACTTTGAACAGAAAAAGTATAATTATTCGTTTCGTTATCCTCATTCATATTCTGCATGGAACGCTTTAATCGTCTTAGTACCAAAGACATCAAAAGGCGAATAATTATTCCTTCGTATTGCAAAAAAACAATTTAGAGAAGTCGTGATCATGAACATTTGGAAATTATTTCATTTATTTCTCTGCAAGGAAATAAATTAAAAAAATCTGAGATTAGTGAAACAGCAACGCGAAATCCTTTCAAGATTGATCATTTATCAGACTTCTTGTTTTTTATGCGAATTAAAAAGTTTGATAGGAAAAAATCCATCAACAGGGGTATGACGTCATCTAAGCTAATGATCTTGCTCTGGTTTCCAACGATAAACAATTTCTACTTCAGGGTCAAGATACATTCTAGTGAGATGACCCTGTAATTCCTAATATCAAATAATTTCAAATTTATTTCTCTAAGGTCTTACTATAAACTCAATTGCTCTCTTTATGAAAAGCAGCTTTTGTGGCATAATTTTCCAAAACATGGAAAAATGCTACATTTATGTCCAATTAAGTTTATTTTGATTCGTTTTTGAATATACAGAATGCCATTTGAATGCGAAATTAGAGCAATTAATATTTGTAAATAACGTACATAAATTCATTCAAGATCTAAGTGAAATAATCTTTTGCAGTTGTGTCAAAGTAGTCCTTTCTACTCACCTAATTGATGAAAGTTAGGAATTTCAATATTTTTAAATGCTTTCAAATAGTTTTAAGTGAGATCATATTATTACTATTTAATGATGACGGTTTTCTCAAATAATGAAGTTTCAAATCTTTAGGAATACGAACACAACAAAGTCGAAGGGCGCAAATGTCGCATTGTGCAGTGGTATCTTAATTGTAATCTCACCAATGCTTACAACAAAACATGTTCTGCTGTTGCTCAGGTTTTTCATTACATAATCATTAATTACCAAGTAGTAATTACTTAGCAATTACTAATTCATTTGTCTCCGGTCGTATCATCTTCCATCCAAAGATTTCTGGCAATAAACAATTTCAGTTGATAAGTTAACATCAGATTCTTGTACATTCTGTACTGAAATCATGCAGAATTTGGTTAAATCTTTTGGAATGTAAACTTTTAGCTTCTTAAAATTTTTCCAATGTCTTATTTGTGATGTAGATACTAGCTTTGACTATTTTTTCGATTACATTTCTTTAAATATTATTTCCAGATTATGCGAAGCTACTATGAATTGCTTCTAAATTCCAATCAAAATTCATGCGATTTGCGGAAGTTCAATTTTAATTTATCAAGTTTAAATCTTACCGATCCAGAAAATATTACTCAGTTGAGCGGAAACTCCAGTAAAATTAATAGCTCGTTAGGAGGTATATTGCATTTTTCATTGTATTATTAAATAATTCGTTTTTACACATTTGGAAGGTAATATATATACTCACTGCAATTATTTTTACTTCAGAAATAATTTTTATCCAATTTAAACTTCAAGCAGTGAGAACACTGTTTTTTTTTTTTTTTTTTTAAACAAACTTTTTAACGAACAAACGAAATCTCGGAATATGTCATTTTAAATTAATTAGATTATTAGAAATTGAATTTTTCAACTTTGCGCGTTATTTATATCAATTCTTTCAGATTTATTAAATCCAAAAAATAAAAATAACGAACGATGCGATATATTCAGTGAACGATACATATTGGAAGCAACAAGAGAGTTGAGAAAATATGAATATCTCCCGTACCGATTGTTCCGGATTCCTTTCAATCAATTAATCGAGAGAACTCCTTGTTTAGATTACAAAATTTACAAGAAAAATGTTCAGGGTATTAGTTCCCAATGCAGGTTTGCATTTCTGTTTTGGCAGCATATAACCATGTGTTCCGTATGGTACTAAAACTGGCACAGATTCAAATCTGTGTAAGCTCATTCAGTCTTACATTTTTGTATTAATCAGGAAGTATCAATATTTCAGCTACTTTTCAGGAAAATGAATACACATCTGGAAAAGATTTATGATTATTACTGTAGCAATAGCTTCATTAATTCATTATTAAATCAAGAAAGCTGCATAGAAAAGCTTCATTCAATTTGTAATCAAAGTGATTGCTCAAATGTTGATCTTTTCTCAGATGCATATAATTCTCTTTTGAAAACGGTTCTTTATTTTGCTTCATACTTAAAATATTAAAATATCAGTATTAAAGCCTTTCAATTTAATTTACCTTAAGGTTACCAGCTGACTGGTATAATCATTGTTTGATTTCACAACTGCTCTTGCAAATACTTTACAACTAATGATGTCTTGAAATACAAAGATTGGATGATTATCGTTTAATTTCATTTTTTTTTTTTAATTTAAGACATTTTTTAAACTTAGGAAAGAATTTTAAATAAGAAAACATCTGATTTCTCATCTGAATGGTGTAACTTTGCCAAACGATACCTTGGCTGTGGAATCACTGAATCTTTTTACGAAGTATGTCCAAAAACTGCAGAGGTTTGTTATTTTTATTGAGTAATCCAACTGCTTGAAATTTTACCATTTCGAATCTCTTTTAGTATTTTGACACTTTTTTTGTAACAATTTTGAAAGAAGGGGAATTTTTTTGAAAAAAAGATTTTGTAATGACAGGTGCAGAATTTATTGAACTCAATAAAATTAGAAATGTATGATTCAAATGTTTTATGGCTGTCTCTAATAAATTCTTAAATGATTGTCGTAAACAGTTTATTTCTTTTTTTATAGGCTTTGCAAAACTACTTTGAGATACTGATTAATCCGAATAATAGCAACTGTTATTTGCGGCAACCAACGGCTAACCATAATGAAATTGTTTTTGGTCGGTTAATTCGGCAACTAACAGCTGATCTGAATGAAACCGTTCCTGATTGGTCAGATCGACAACCAACAGCTGATCTGAATGAAACCGTTCCTGATTGGTCAGATCGACAACCAACAGCTGATCTGAATGAAACCGTTCCTGATTGGTCAGATCGACAACCAACAACTGATATGAATGAAACCGTTCCTGATTGGTCAGATCGACAACCAACAGCTGATCTGAATGAAACCGTTCCTGATTGGTCAGATCGACAACCAACAGCTGATCTGAATGAAACCGTTCCTGATTGGTCAGATCGACAACCAACAACTGATATGAATGAAACCGTTCCTGATTGGTCAGATCGACAACCAACAGCTGATCTGAATGAAACCGTTCCTGATTGGTCAGATCGACAACCAACAGCTGATATGAATGAAACCGTTCCTGATTGGTCAGATCGACAACCAACAGCTGATCTGAATGAAACCGTTCCTGATTGGTCAGATCGACAACCAACAGCTGATCTGAATGAAACCGTTCCTGATTGGTCAGATCGACAACCAACAGCTGATCTGAATGAAACCGTTCCTGATTGGTCAGATCGACAACCAACAGCTGATCTGAATGAAACCGTTCCTGATTGGTCAGATCGACAACCAACAGCTGATCTCAATGAAACCGTTCCTGATTGGTCAGATCGACAACCAACAGCTGGTCTGAATGAAACCGTTCCTGATTGGTCAGATCGACAACCAAAAGCTAATCTGAATGAAACCGTTCCTGATTGGTCAGATCGACAACCAACAGCTGATCTCAATGAAACCGTTCCTGATTGGTCAGATCGACAACCAACAGCTGATATGAATGAAACCGTTCCTGATTGGTCAGATCGACAACCAACAGCTGATCTGAATGAAACCGTTCCTGATTGGTCAGATCGACAACCAACAGCTGATCTGAATGAAACCGTTCCTGATTGGTCAGATCGACAACCAACAGCTGATCTGAATGAAACCGTTCCTGATTGGTCAGATCGACAACCAACAGCTGATCTCAATGAAACCGTTCCTGATCGGTCAGATCGACAACCAACAGCTGATCTGAATGAAACCGTTCCTGATTGGTCAGATCGACAACCAACAGCTGATCTCAATGAAACCGTTCCTGATTGGTCAGATCGACAACCAACAGCTGATCTGAATGAAACCGTTCCTGATTGCTCAGATCGACAACCAACAGCTGATATGAATGAAACCGTTCCTGATTGGTCAGATCGACAACCAACAGCTGATCTGAATGAAACCGTTCCTGATTGGTCAGATCGACAACCAACAGCTGGTCTGAATGAAACCGTTCCTGATTGGTCAGATCGACAACCAAAAGCTAATCTGAATGAAACCGTTCCTGATTGGTCAGATCGACAACCAACAGCTGATCTCAATGAAACCGTTCCTGATTGGTCAGATCGACAACCAACAGCTGATATGAATGAAACCGTTCCTGATTGGTCAGATCGACAACCAACAGCTGATCTGAATGAAACCGTTCCTGATTGGTCAGATCGACAACCAACAGCTGATCTGAATGAAACCGTTCCTGATTGGTCAGATCGACAACCAACAGCTGATCTGAATGAAACCGTTCCTGATTGGTCAGATCGACAACCAACAGCTGATCTCAATGAAACCGTTCCTGATCGGTCAGATCGACAACCAACAGCTGATCTGAATGAAACCGTTCCTGATTGGTCAGATCGACAACCAACAGCTGATCTCAATGAAACCGTTCCTGATTGGTCAGATCGACAACCAACAGCTGATCTGAATGAAACCGTTCCTGATTGGTCAGATCGACATCCAAAAGCTAATCTGAATGAAACCGTTCCTGATTGGTCAGATCGACAACCAACAGCTGATCTCAATGAAAACATTGCTAGTTGGTGCTTATTTGTAATTCAACTCTTACATACTAAAATGTTTATTTTTTTATCAATCATAATAGATAATATCACCGGTACAATTCAGAATATCAATGATCATCAGGCTTAACAAAGGAAGAATACTTTTAAGAGGAAGAATTTTAAATTCCTAATAATTAATGATCAACAGTAATTTTTGATTAATGGTAAGTTGTGGAAATAAATAAATATTTCATTCATGCAAAAGTTGACTCCGGAAATATTATAAATGTTATAGATGCTAGCAGTAATTCTGATCTCCAGACATGTAATAATTGCAAAGTAATCAAATGTCCAGAGGGTTTCTATTATAACAAACATTTGGCAAAATGTGTTGGTAAGTACGATAGCTCACTTTTATCCGCGGAATCATCACGAACCGATATCTTTTGCATATTTTTAGAGAAGAATTTCATAGTTCAATTTAGTGATTTGATATTAGTTTTAAGTAATTTAGGAACATTTGAATGATTATTCAGCTTTAAGATAATCTTGAGATTTGAGACTTTTTCTTACTTTTAATTCTTTAATCAACAGTCATTTTAGAAAGTTCACTTCAAGTTTTAAATTGCGAGTCGTGGCAATTTCACTTAAATGTGGAAAATATTATTATGATGTTGAATGATTTGATAAAAATAGTGATAGAAACAAAGTAAAAATGAAAAAATTCGACCATACTTATACCTTATAGATCATACTTATCATAATTATATCTTATTGAGATTTAGATGTAGATGAATGCGCATCCAATAAACATTTTTGTTCGCAGAAGTGTATCAATAAGCAAGGTAGCTATGATTGTGAGTGTTTTGGCCCTTTGTATAGACTGGCTCGAAATAATCGTCGGTGCTATCGAACTGATAATGGTTATTCGTTATATTTATTACTTTAATTTTTTTCAGTAATGCTTGTTTATAGAATGGCTTAGTAATATTTTTTTGAACAAGAGCAAATTCATTAAGTGAGGTATTTCAATTTCAAAAAATATTATAAGCGATAAGGGAGTAATAGACATGTAAACCTGATGATATACTTCCAGAATCCGTCGTGTTTTTCTTGGCTCATTCTCATAGTGTATGGAATATAACATATAATGCAAAATCTCAGCTTAAGTTGGTACCTAGCAATAGAGCTGAAAAAGTGGCCATGTTCGACTACGACTTGAAGGTAGATCATTTCATAAAAAAGATTCACTATTGTTTTTTAACCGCTTTGAAAATTTTGAATCTTTTCAGAATTTCTTCATTGTTTTCATTTGTATACACACAAAAAAAAAAAGAGTTATAGCATTAAATTGTGTTCCAGGAAAAGAAATTATACTATGTGGATCTAACGAGAAATTCAATTCAGTATGTAAATTTGCTTGATAGAAACAGAGTACATATCATACAAAACCATGATATTGAAGGTACAGAAGGAATCGCTATTGATTGGATACATAGGTTACTAACTTACTTTAATCGTCATAGCATTATTAAACTAAAATATAATAAGGTTTTTTTTTTTCATGTAAAACTATTTAGAAACAATTCTAACTCTCTTAATAGCAACGGCAATGATGATAGTATAGTGAAAATGCAATAGCTTCAAAAATCTATCAGATCTTATGGATTACAATTGAAAGCATAGGGCATTTCATCAAATTATCAATTCGATCATTGATTTAATAATTTACATGAAGTAGATTTTAATAATTTACATTCTTTCAAAGGCACAGTCATGTCTGCTTCTGAAAGAAAGTGAAAAAAATTAAGCATAGATTTGAAATAATGTTAAAAAAAACGAGATCAGGTACCATTCAGGAATTTGTATACTCTACGTTACAAGCAATTACATGTGCAACGTCTTGATGGTCTTTATAGAGCATTACTTTATGATGGATTTTTTCAATTGCCTCGAGCTTTGGTCGCTTATCCTTCGATACGGTTCTTTTTTCTTTCCTGGAAAACATTTCATAGTTTTGAAGTTACTTTGTAACTAATATTGAACTAACATTTCCTATCTGCAATAATCAAGCAGCGTAACTAATACTAAAAAAAAACTGACACTATTCATCCGGCATTCATTGCAGTATCAGATTGTAAATGGTGGGACCTTCATGTTTTCTTCTATATAATGTGACAATTGTCAAGCAAAATTTGGCTAAATTAGATGATATCTTGCTTAAGTAGCATAAGATTCAACTTTTTCCTTGTGCTTTGTCTACTCTCGAAACACTCTCCTCGAAAATAGGATATAAAATTGTTAGAAATTCTTGTGATTCATGGTTCTCCATGCAAATACATTCTTTACAGTGAACTGTTTGCAAGCGACTGGGGAGTGAAACCATTTATAGTCCGTCTTGCTATGGACGGTACTCAAGCAAAAAAGATCGTCACTGAAAGTTTAGTTTGGCCAAATGCACTAGCTATCGATTATTTCGCAGAACGTCTTTACTGGGCCGATGCTTTCCGCGACGTTATTGAGTTCATTAATTTTTTTAAATGTTTTCTGGTTAAGGCGAAGATTATATTATATAAATTTCCGATTAGTATCATAATTTGAATGTAGCAGGAAGAACTCCTCATTTAAAATTTTCTCATGATTTTTATTCTAACCTTTAATCTAGAATGGCAAATTTGGATGGAACGGGTCGACGAACTGTAATCAGTGACGATAAGTTGGTGCCGCATGTTTTCGGATTAACGATATTTGACGATACGATCTTTTGGAGCGACTGGACTCGTCGTGGAATTCTTTTTGCTAATAAACTTACCGGTCAAAACTCAACAAGGCTGATGGAGACTGTATTGCCACCGTATTCCCTCAAGGCATATCATCCTTTTATGCAAATGGAAGGTATGCCATAATCTTTTTTGTAATACTTACGTGAATAAATAAAAAAAGCTTCTAGATCTAAAAAACAAGCTTCAAAATTTACTAGAATCCTACCAGTTTGCTGTGAAATGTTTTTTCATTCAATTACAACTTAATTATACTTCAGCTCCTAATATTTGTGAAGTGACAACATGCCAACATATCTGTGTACCGAAGCTTGATGGTTCAGGACAGCAATGTCTATGCGCCGAAGGATTTATCATGCATGAAAGCGGTCTTTGTGAACCAAACTGTACGAAACATCAGTTACTGTGCTCACGGCCGGATCACAAGTATCATTTTCGAATTAAATAATTTTTTTTTTTTGAATTAATAATTAAGGAATCAGAGAAAATTTGTTATAAGAATTCTTCCTGCTAGAAACAGATCTAAATTCAATTCCTGTTTTATAGACATTCAGTCTTATTGCGATCAACTTTGAGCAAAAATTTTCAGAATAGTAATATTTTTCTATCGCAAATGATTTGAAATTTTACGGATCATTGGTTTCATCTCATTGATTTTAGATTTATAAAATCACATAAAAAAGTTCGCTACTGTTGCAAGCACTAAATATTCACGTTATAGTAATACAGTAGAAACTTACCATTTACGAAATATAATTAATTAATCTTCTGACATATTATCAATCCAAAAGAGTTCACTTCCGCCCTTCTCGTTTGTTCTTTTGGTCTCTTCTATTTATCGGAAATATCATTTTTCTTCTCTTTTTTTTAGGGATAAGTCTATTTACATCGTAAATTAAATGTCAAATTTTTCAAGATAAGTATTTCAGATGTCTCAATTTAATATATCGGTGTGATGAATCGTACAATTGTAGAAATGGAGATGATGAAATGGAATGTCGTAAGTGTTTCTTCATTCCCTTCTTTATGAAAACTATTTCTTTGTATCAGTGTTAAAAAATAAGTGTTCGAAATGTTTTTGCTTTTGAATTCTTTGGCTTTCTTGAATTTGTTTAAAGTTTATTAATACAAATTGTTGCAGCTGTATCGATTTGCATGCATGATGAGCGCATGTTCCCTTGTCGTGATAATCGTAAATGTATTTTGCGATCGCAACGATGCGATGGTTTCGTAGATTGCTATGATGAATCGGATGAATTTTATTGTGCTGATTTAGCTATAGCTTGGAGCCATTAACTGCTCCATAATTGTTGGCTAAGATATGATAAAAACATCATTTCCAATTGCTACTATCATCGTAATACTAATTGCAAACAAGTCTGAAACCAAAATTAGGATTGTATACGACACATCCTCACACCAAAAAGAAGGACAGAGTCTGAATGATATATTTATACCCGAGGACCCATAATTCTTCTCGATTTAGTAGAAGTACAATGATGGAAATTGTGATGGCCTTTTTGCATTTCTGCAATTGCAGTTACTGTCGGTAAATCGAAAAATTCTTATTACACACTAAATGGTTTAGAATAATGCTAATGATTCATCACTATAAACCAATTCGTTATTCCTTTGTTATATCCCATTTTTTTGAAACGGTGAATCCTTTATCTAAACCCCAAATAGTAAATGTACATCTGTCTTCTTTGTTCTTCATTGTAAATGTTAGCCAAGCCCACTTCCTACACCCTTAAAAATCTTCTCTAATCGGTTAATAACAAAGAAACAATCGATGGCAGTCTTCTCGTCCTCCTTGATATCTGGGTTGATCTTGCTCGTAGACAAGAAACAAAAGGTTCAGTTCAACTTCTACAAACCTAAAGTAAATCAAGTAAATTTAACTAACCTAAATCATCTACTCCTCTGACCAAAAAGTTAATTCAAATTCATCACAGCTGTAGCTTTTTTACGATTTGTCACGTTTATCTAAAAAAAAAAAAAAAAAAAAAGTATTCTTCATTTTTTATATGAATTCTTGTAATAGCAATAAGTTCTATTATGAAAGAAAATCTCTATGGGTAACATAGTTTTCCTATTTTTTTTAATTACTGTATACATTTTGAACAGTAATACTTTGCATTTCAATTTAATAAAATTGAAATACTTTTTATATATTAAGAAATCCTTCCATTACTTCAATAGTTTATTTTTTACGAACATTTTTGATTTAAATGCAATTGATAAGTAGTTTAAATGATAAATGATAAAATACAAACTTCAAACTAAATGATAAAATACAAACTTCATTAAGCGAAAAATCGATGAAATTAAACATATTTCTGGCAAAGAAATGAATTTGATCATTAATTTTAGCTTTCCAGTACTTTTAAATTCTCGCTTGATGTCATTTTCGATTAGTTTGCATAATGAATTTGATATTTTTTTCTATTTCTGCATCACTTAAGTATTAGACTTTCGTTTCCAGGAAAAATTTTATTGCTTATTAATAACAAAGAATTTTATTAGCCTGGAAATTTCAATAATGAAAATTCAAATTTTTCTTCTGTTGATGAATGATTACATCGTTGAAGCATTCAAAGGAGTGTTGCAGTACGAAGAATGTCAATCTGTTGACAGCCAGCTGGAAATTTTGCAATGAATAATGTATTTGTTGATCATATCCTTTAATGCTGATATAAATTTTACTGTAGTATTGAAGATTTCCATTGTCTCTGCAATTATCTTTGACTTTTGAACACGTATATAAGTGAATCTACGTGATATTACGTAAGAGTGCAGTTTAAGTAAATACATAGATAGGATTGAAATGTTTACTGTGTAGTACTACTACAATGTAACATTTCTAACATGGATAAATCTACCAACGGACTTTACCATTGCATTTACAACATACAGCAAAGTAAACATCATTGAAAAATTCTTGGTCTTTTGATCGAGGAGGAATGTTGTAGCTCCAAAATTATAAAATGATGCGAAAAAATAGACGGAGAGATCTTCAAATGTGTTCCACATATATTTCCGGATTAGATTTCATTTTTTCACCGTAAACGGAAATTTGTGTTTTGTAAGTGGGAGTGAGGAGTAAAGGAGTGGAAGATAGGTTAGAAAGCAATTTCTCTTGCTGATTTCCTTCCTGAAATTTTAAGTCCGAAAGGAGAATTGTTTACAATTCTTTTTTTTTTTTTATTCTGGCTGTTCAGGAAAAAGATTCTTAATTGAATATCAACAACGACTATGCTGAACTTCTTGCTGCTTTCACAGTATTCATTGTGACATCAAGAGTACTTAAGGTAAATTGTATAAATGACATCTCAACAATTATTAGATCAGCTTAACGATTATTACTTGTAAAAATGACATCAGAATGGAAGCACTAAGTTGCACATTTTTACCTTAAATATTTTTTTAAATGTAACTAAGCGTATCGTTACATTTTGTTGTATGAATTAAATATTCTCATACATACATATAACAGCGTAAGCAGAAGTTAAGGGTTCTTTTTTTTGTACTTCTGCAACATCCATCATTTCTTATATATATGCTGAAATAGAAGCATATAATGTAATATGTTTACTGCATTATAAAAAGCAAGAGAAACAAAAGTTAAGCAAAAAACTTCGCGATAACAACAAAAGCAACTCCTGCAATAACTTATATAATTTATATAAAATATTTTTCAACAACACAGCTTATCACAATCAGTGAGAAGCAGAAAATGATACACAGACCATAACAATTAAACGATGTCATTCCCTTTTCTTTCACTTGATCACGAAAAAGTAAGTTTCCAAATGATATTTATGGGACACATCGACCAACAAAGCGTGGGTAAAGACACACATCGCGAATATGATTGGTGTTTGTTAACCAACAAATAAAACGTTCCAAGCCAAGTCCATAGCCACCATGAGGACAGGTGCCATATAAACGTTGATCCAAGTACCAGTAATACGGTTTCGGGTCAATTTCCACATTTTTAAAAGCTTTCGATAGTTCATCGAACTAAAATATACAAAGAAATTGTAAAGAGAAAAAAAAAAAAAAACGAAAAAAATGAATAAGAAAACTCTAGAAAATTCCTTTTTTGAAATATCTATTAGTGAAGTTTTGAGAGTAATATACCTTCCAAATTCTCATACTGCCACCAACAATTTCGCCAACGCCAGGCATAAGAAGATCAACAGATTCTGTTAAGGTATTATCCTTTGCATCCCTCTGCATATAAAATGCCTTAATTTCGCTCGGGAAACGATTCAGTAGAATAGGCTATAAAATAATTCACAAATATAAACAAAAAGAGGAGTAAAAATTATTTCTGTTAATTCGAATCTCTGGAACTATCAAATTCTGTTCAAAATATATACCTTTCCTATTATATTCTTGCTATAGTCAAAAAAATGAATAAATCATTTTTCACATTGGACGTGAACAAGCATTAAAGTCAATTTCTTAAAACTAGTTACAAATTCTAACTCCAAACGGCAGCGCCTAATTTAAATGTACCCAAAAATAATTCCGCAAATACTCACCTTATTGATGGTATCAGTCATGAAACGTTCCGCTGCTTCAGCAATATCTTCCCCATAAGTAAAAGTATTACCAAATTCATTCTCAACATTGTGTTCTTGCAACCATTTAATAGCATCCTTGTATTCCATTCTTAAAAATGGTCTTTCTGGCGGTTGAAATTTCTGCAAAAAGAGGATAAAAGGCAATTATCATTGATAAACAAAGGAAAACGTAAAGTATCAGTGAAAGAAAACTCCTCGTATATATATTATAACTCTTATAATAACTCTAATAAAGAACAACCTTATTAACTATATGTTTTTTAGAATAATTACTGATCTTTGAGAAAAAATTAATCTTGTGAAGTAAGAATATATCGAAACAAAAGACAGAAGTTTATACTCATCGAATGTTTTAAACTTTTTTCCTATTATAACTGACTTTTTTAAAGCATAGAAACAAGTACTGAAAATATACGCTAAAAATGTAGCATATCATCTAAAAAAAATCAAAAACGAGAGAAAAAATAACCGGATTAATGTGTTCCAATAATTTTTTTGCCTCCTCGTCAGCTAAAAGTCGATCCACTGTGTCGCAAACGAGTTCTTCAATTTTCTCCATCAAATCATCCAGCGTTATGAAAGGACACTCGGCTTCAACATGTGCATATTCCGCCAAGTGTCGACGAGTGCGAGATTTTTCCGCCCTTAAAAAAGCATTCTCAATAATAAGAATGATTAAAAATATTGATAAAAACCGAATAACATTCACATAAAGTCTGCAATTTCTTCTAATTTATCAACTAGTGTTTTCCATTCATAAAATAAATCTCATCTTTCTCTCTCTCTTCCTTACTAGTAGTCTTAACGAGCAGTTTAAGTAGCAATAAAACTACTACTTAAAACAACATTAACACAATATATTATTATATTTCAGTTACAATAAAGCATTATTATTAAGCTTTTAATTATTAGATGGCAATATCACTCTAAAATTTTGCTAATCGTTAACGCCAAAAAATTTCACAATGATTATGATTATTGGAAACCAACTGGCGCCGCCGCATTATGGTGACACATAAAAAATGTATGTTCGCTAAAAATGTTGCCTTTTTGAAATCATTCCTGTATAAAAATGAGAATAATGCATACAAACCTGTAAGACTGAGCAATGCAGAAGACATCACCAAGAGTGGGAATGCAAGTTTCTAGATAGAGCTGTGATGACTGCGTAAGAAAAGATTGCTCACCAAAATAGTCCAGATTAAATAACGTTGATCCACCTTCTACCTAGAAAAAGATAATTTTCAATTATTTTATTGATATACATATATTGTCCTAAACAACATTTCATCAAATATGTAACCTGCGTTTGCACTAAAGTCGGTGGTGCAACTTCCACATAGCCAGCATTATAGAAATGTTCCCGCATTGCTCGAGTAGCAGCTGCTCTCAAACGTAGCAATGCAGCAGCATTTTCACCTCGAATAACCAAATGTCTATTGTCCAACATTTTGTCGACACTTGCTTCTTCGTTTAACACATTATCAATGCCTACAATGAATATAAACTATCGAAATTAGAATTTTCTTATCTATTTTTATTAGTGTATAACAATGTAACTTAATAGTACGGTGAAATAAGCTAACTATACATCAGTATATGATGAAATATATCATGACCAGACGTAGCAAGTTTCATATTCTTTATGCTCGATTAAATCTAACAGTACGCAATATGGATGGCTCTCATGATAACTGTCAACTT